ATTGGGAAATTTTCCAGATTTGAAAAACAAAGGCATTGTTATGGATAATGTTTCTTGATTTTTACCTCCCTCTTTCCATGATCACACACAATCAACCACCACCACCCATGACAAAGGTAGGTTCTTTCTCATTGCCAGCTATTTTTGACTCAACATAAGAATTGGGTTGAAGAGAGAATCTTGCCGGGTGCCTGAATGGTTCAATCAGTTAAGCATCTGACTTCGGCTTAGGTCATGATCTCATGGTTTTTGACTTTGAGCCCTATGTCGTGTTTTCTGCTGTCAGCACAGAGCCTGCTTTGGTTTCTCTGTCTCCTTCTGTCTGCCCCTCCCCCTCTTCCTTCCTTCCTTCCTTCCTTCCTTCCTTCCTTCCTTCCTTCCTTCCTTCCTTCCTTCCTTCCTTCCTTCCTTTCCTCTCTCTCTCAAAACTAAAGATTAAAAAAAAGAGGGAATTTTGCTTGGCATGATTTTGGAGGCCTAGCTCACGTTCTTCATTGCTCCTTCCACATTTGGGTCTCATCATTTTGATTAGAGTAGTGTTACCAGTCCCTGCCACTCTTCTTTGTACACATTAGAGCTGCGATAAACACAGATTTAACTATCAAAGTGAATTAACAAGGCCGTTGTTGGAAGTCATTCAACTGCATTTAGTCTCATTGTCACAGATATCACCTTGAAACTGGGAAAACTATGTAATAAGTGTTTCCCATCTTGATTCCAGTTGAATAAAGAAAGAAAAATGGGAATAATAGGGAGGATTCACACAGATGCATAACTAATATTAGGAAAGATCAGGCCGTCGGTTTCTCTATAATAGTAAAGTCAGGATGCTGTGTTGGTTGAGTGTAGGTGTTAGAACCACACAAACTTGGGTTTGAACCCTGACTCTGCCACATAACAATGTGACTTTAGACAACTCCCTTTACCGTAGCTAGGCCTTACTGTCCTATCTGTAAAATGAAGGAAACCTATTTAATGGAGGACAGTAGTAGGATTTAAATGCGATAATGCATGGGAAGGCCCTGCTACAGGACCTGGCACAAAGTAAGCCCTCAGTAACTTTAGCTGGATTTGTTATTATTGCTGTAATTGTCAAGAGTGTTGTTTTGAAAAATGTAATTCTTTTCAACTTTAGATGGTATCAGGTAATTTGGTGACATCAGATAATATAAATGAGATCAGTCTTTTTTTCCTGGTATCAGAAACAATAGAGTATTTTTTAAAGTTCTATAACTTCACACATCAACATTTAGGAGAAGAAGAGATACAGTTTATGTCTTTGTAATGTACAAACTGACCACAGGCAAGCTTACAGGTTCTTTTTCTCTATATAGAGGTTAAGAACAGCATCCTGACCTGTAAGTACAAGATCTTTTATGCTAATTGGTTTCTGGAATTCATTAAGACTTTTCTAGGGAGATATTTGATCACATAGGTAAAGAACTATCTTTTCATAGTGGGATTTCTGGTGATACTGACTTCTAAAATTTTTTTACAAATATAAGAAATTCCTAATGAATTGAACTGATGTCTGAGAGGCATTGATAGACACATTCTCTGATGTCTCTCTTGTGGCCACGTAGGTGAGACCGGCATCGGCAAATCCACGTTAATGGACACTTTATTCAACACCAAATTTGAAAGTGACCCAGCTACTCACAATGAACCAGGTGTCCGGTTAAAAGCCAGAAGTTATGAGCTTCAGGAAAGCAATGTACGGCTGAAGTTAACCATCGTTGACACTGTGGGATTTGGAGACCAGATAAACAAAGATGACAGGTACGTTTTGGGATTTTGTGGGGATATAAATGGATCAGGAGATAGCAGGACTTGTCCTGGGTAAATTCAAAGGCTAAAAATGTTCACTAATTATGGGGCTGATTTTCTGTTGCCTAAAAGATAAGACATTCTTTTCCTCTGAGAAGTTTTCTTAGAATGTTCTTCCCCGATGTCAGAATGAGACAACACAGTTGATTCTAGCTCGTGTAAGGAAAAAAGGAATTTCTTAGGAATACATTAGCTTATGGCATTTTTCCAGCAGGGTCATGGAACTAGATTTGGGACCTTTCCCAGCAGGAAAAGCAATCTAGAGAAACACTCAATGATCCAACAGGACAGTTAGCAGAAACCCCTGCCACTGGTCACCTGCCACTGGTACCCGTGATGCTGAGGGGAGGTGTTTAGAACCTCCACCAGTTCTGTCCTAGAGTTGGGACAGTGTTACAGGATGATTTTTATTGCCTTCCCTATCCCTTGCAAGGAGAACAATGGTGGCCTCTGCTGTGTGTTCCTTACTCCCTGCTTCTGGGTCTTGTGTGGCTGCATCTATATGGTAGAAACTAAACCACATCTAGAATACTAGCTGCAAGAATCTGGGAAATGCGTTGTTTTTGTTTTGTTTGTTTGTTTTGCAACTCTGCAAAATAAGAAGGCATTAAAGAATCAGGAATTCAAAAATGCATCTGCCAAACTCTCCTAGTCCCTGAGGCACATTGGGATTTTGACTTAACCCCCAAATTCTTACAGATTTTGAATGAAAACAGAGCTGATGAGATTCTGCCAAAGAATCCACAGCTCAGGATTTAGGCGACCTGGGTTAGAGCCTGGATTCTGAGATTGACAGGTTATGGGACCTTGACAATTTATCTCACTTTAAGAGAATGTCACCAGACGATCGCTGAGGTCTCTTCCCGTGTGATCCTGTATTCAGTCCTATTCTTAGGCAGAGGCCTAAGGAGGGACACTGTGAAAGGCAAGGCCTGGAAGAGGGGTATGGTAATAATAGGGGGGTATTCCTGTATTTTGATGTCTTTGGTCAAAGTGGTATTAGCTCCTAAAACCTCAAAGTGAAGAAAGCATTTTTATGGAAGATCTGTTGGAAAAATCTTGATTTCCAGCTGGCACAGATCTTGCTATTGATGTGAGTGCTTGGTGTGAGGCACTGAGTCTTCTGTGAAGTGTCTGGGTCTTTCTGTAGGCTGCTAAAGGGGTGGGCAGCATGCCTGGTGCAGAATTGTCAAATCGAGTCTGAGTAATGATTGTGGATTCAGTCAAGCCTAATGGGGAATTGAGGTCAGCTGGATTAAACTTTCCCTTTCTATCCAGTGGAGTTTGTTAAGCTAATAAAGTAATGTATACAATAATCCATATATGTGGAAGAAAAGATGTGTTTAAGCTGCTTAAGAAATAAAATACTTTCTAAGAATTTTGTTCCAATGGTTTGTGTGTAGATAGAGGTTACTACCTGGTAAATCAATCTTATGTATTCATTCATTAAAACTGGTTCACATAAACTTGAAGATATAATTATAATACAGTAAGGTTTTATTTTTATTTTTAGAAAACACATACTCAATTTATAAAGCCAAGTAAGTTTGACTCTGCTCTCTGAGTTGCTATATGCCTTTATTGAGAGAAGCTGTTAATCTTAAAACTTCCTGGTGCTCAACCC